GGTTGGCTTTATCTATGGAGGGTACTGCCCAACCAAAGATGGCCTGCAAAGACAATTACGATGGATCCTGTACTGCTGAATATATCCCAACTGAACCGGGTGATTACGAAGTATCTATTAAATTCGCGGATCAACATATTCCTGGATCTCCGTTTCATATACTAGTTGTGAACGAAACAGAGGCAAGCAAAGTTGTTGCGTACGGTACAGGATTGGAGACCGTGCGAGAAAATGTACCAGCTAAGTTCATTGTGAACACTTCAAAATGTAATCCAGCACTATGGGATATCACGTTAAAGTCTGACAAAGTACAAGTTCAGAAACCGGTGATTAAGAATATCGGAGACGGTTTATACGAAGTTGTTTATCAACCACCGCCTGCTGGAAGCAATTTACAAGTTGGAGTGACTTATGATGGAGAAGATATACCAGGAAGTCCTTTCAAACCGAAAGTTCTACCCACTGTGGAGCCAAACAAAGTTGTTTTGTCGGGTCCAGGAGTGTCACCTGTTTGTACCGCGTCTTTCCCAGTTGACTTCGTGGTGGATACCTCCAAAGCTGGCTACGGTGACCTCGAAGTTCAAGTTCTGGTGAGGAACGAGCTAAAGATTCATTCTTTTCAGAGAAGAGATGCTATAGAGACAATTCATAGGTTTTCTGGTAGATCTGGTAGATCTGGTAGATCTGGTTCTTAGAACTTAGAATTGAGTAGCTTCAATTCTTTTCTTCTTTCTTTTTTCTATTGTTATTCATCAATGCATTGGAAATTGTTAGTTGGATGATACTGCGTATTAACTCTTTGATTGTATGTAATTTTAAATTACAATGTTTATGTTTAGGGTCCAGATCAGGTACCGCGCAGAGTTGAAATTCAGGACCTTGGGGACGGAAAATATAAGGCAACCTATCTGCCTGATGATTGTGGCCGCTACAAAGTTAACGTGAAGTACGGAGGTAAAGAAGTATCAGGATGTCCAGTGAACGTTCAAAGCGTTTCAACTGGAAAAGCCGACCAGTGCAAGATCAAAGAGGGTATTCAACACACTTTGGCCCAAGGTGAAGAATACTGTATTACAGTGGACACCGAAAATGCTGGTCGTGGAGCAGTAACCTGTCGTATACGTTCTGTTTCTGGAAGGTAAGTAAATTTGAGTTCTTGGAATTATTGAAACGTTCCACATCAATGTAATAGTTTATACAAATCTCTTGGAACAAAGATTTGTCCAATAATCATTTACTCAAAACACAATCTTTCATTTAAGATATACGGTATTAAGTTTCAGTCGCCTCCTGCCCAATAGTAATTGGTAAAAAACAAGCTGCAGTTGTCAAGAATTAAGATGCAAATTTTTTAAATATACTATAACGAAAGAAACTATTCTGAGGTGATATAGAACATCCTGGAGTGAGATTCGAGCTCCTCATCTCCCTCAAATTGCTGTTTTAATATTCGGATTACGCGTATTTTAACGTCTGTCAGATTTTACGGAGTCGACTATACTCTAGTCTTCTTATTCATCAAATGAGTTATTTCAGAAATAGTAACTGAAATATTTCTATCTAAACTGTTTGCTTTGATCGAACATATGTCTGCACCTGCGTATATTATGAAATATGCTAAGCCTGATTCTAACTCTCTGCCTAACATTTCTGCTAAAGAAGATTCGGCTCATTACAATTGTCCCAATTCTTGCTCAGTTTCCACAAAATTTTACAGTCGTGTGACGCTCTTTCATTAATGCAACTCGACGTTGCATCCGTTGGTTGAGTGGTTTATTAATTCTCAAGTGATCAGATTTCGAGTCGTTTAGAAAATTACTTTTCTTCCTCTATAAATATGCCGGAGATGATCTTTGCGTATTCAATTCTGCATATACTCTTCGTTTGTACCGTCGATGATTCTTCAGATTTCATTCATAATTTCATACGAATTGCAAATTCTAAGGCCTCTTATAAATCTTTAAGACTCGTTAACTCCTGAACGTATAACAGGGATCATAAGATGCCAGTAATAACTTTTATAGGTAGAGGGTTTCAGAAGATTTCACTTCTATTTTTTAAATATTCAATGCTATAATTTTTCATTCTTAGCAAAATAGCATAATGTTTAGACGAGGTCAACGACCTCTAACAAAAGCTCATTCGACAATAAATAAAGGAATAAAAGAACGAATCTTACATCATAAGAATAGAGTTATTGGTTCACCTTAGATAATCGTTTTCACTACATAATCGCGTTTTATATTTAACGCACATTTAACCGCTAATAGTAACAGTACACCGTGCAATAAATATTTAGAAATTGAAGTTAAAATCACATTCAAAATATAAATAATTCTTCCTTTTGGTTCGTTAAAATTCCCACGTTCGATTGGGCTTAATTTCTCAGTAAAGATGTGTCGCTATTAATCAACCGTGAAACGAGTAGTTACATTTGAAATATTGGCGTTTATCCGAAGTGGTATCCTCTCAGTAGGAGAACATTCCACCATTTGGCACAAACTTGCGATTGATGTCATTTAGAGTGGTAACATATGTAAATACATATCTATGTTGATATTTCTAATTACCAACAGAAACGTTTGAACGCGTCATATTTCGAACTTATTATTGGCACCTTACATGAAAACCGTCTTGAATCATCAGTAGACGCGTAAATCATCGAGCAACATTTCTTACACTTAAGTGTGCAAATTATTATACAGAACGTCTCATTTTAATCTACTTATTCAAGTATTCCGGAAGTATAGTGCTTAGGGAAATATGATATCAGAGGATTCCAGAGGCTTCAGGGAGATATAATATAAATACATAGAATTATCATACTTTTTCATCCCAACAAAAGGAAGGAAATTTTTTTGAAAAAGTGTACTTTTATTGTAGTAATTAAAAAATCACTTAAAAGGAAAGATAAAGTAGTGATTGAAAGTGTAGCAGCAATCTATTTGAGAGCCAAGTCCAATTTTTCTATAAATAAAACTTTCTTAAGAAATGTTTTATTATTTTTTGAGTTCTTGTGTATTATTTGGATTTATGGTTACTAATTATTTTTCTTACCAACAAACTTATGGGTGAATATATTTTGTTTTACAAAATATTTGATGGTACAGTCATTTCCTTGAAATATTGCAGACAGTGTTTGATCAGTCATTCTGATGTTAATTTAAAGAATATTATATTATGCGCATAAGACATGTGTAGTGGAGAATGTGGCATACATATGTAGCAACGAAACCATTTTTTACACGTATTATTGAAATGTTACCAAGCGTCAAAAAAGAACGTCAGCGACTTCTATAAATATATCTTACATTCCAGGGAGTTCTGAGGCATTATTGAGAAGCTGTATCAAAAGACTCAACATCGATAAATTTACGATTTAAAAATAAATATCGGGGTCACGGTGAAATTTTTAAAATCAAGTAGAACGTTTCAGTTGTTTCAACGAAGTCTAATAAATATACGTGAGAAGAAAAGAACTAGAATAAAACGGAGGATTGTTAAGAAGAAGAAAGGAAACGAAAAGAGAACGAATTTCAAAATTGAATTTTTTGACGAATTTTAATTTTCAAGATTCTTCAAAGATTTTTACTTTATTCAAGAAAACTCTTATTGTTTGTATCACATCTCGATAATTCATCGTTCAATTTATCTTATATCTTCTGACTGTAATATTGGATCCACTTGTGCGATATTTTTTTTTTTTAGCGAAGTGGTGGATATTGACATTGAGGACAATGGAGATGGCACGGTGAACATTTACTATACGGTGGCAGACGCTGGCGATTACACCCTCAACATCAAATTTGGTGGTCAGCCGGTACCAGATGGATTTTATACCTTCACGGTAAGTTACATTTAATTAATTATTATTAATTGTACAAAATTTTTAATTTCGAGTTTTTTTTTTTTAACAGAATGCGTGCCTTTTTATACCAAAATTTCAAAGAGCAGTGAATTTTCTATAAGAAAGTCGTAAGCTTTTTTTGTTCTATACCTAACAATTAGCGAGATATTTAGAAAAACGTTTCTCACGATATCTCATAAACAAAAGTAGTTTATTTAAAAAAATCGTTTCAGATACTGTGCAATTTCCATATAAAGCACTATTTTCTAGAACACATACTTCAGAAGTTATTCGGTGTGGACAAGTTATGTGTCTCATTCTGTATATACCGTTGAAACAAGTATTCAAACAAATATTTATTTCACTGAAAACCTACGTTTTGGTCGAAACGCGTGCTGCACAGATTTTAAATAAAATCTTGCATGTCGGTAAACAAGTTTTGTTTTGTTTTCGAGATACACAGGAATAAATTCAACATTTCCTCATTCCAAGAATTTTCTAGCACATCAGGCATTTTAACATTAACGCTAAATCGTTCAAAAATGGAAACTACTCTCTTGAAAATTTTTTCGAACAGATTTTCGAAGAATGATTTTACTCAACCGGTATTCCCCGTTAGTTGCACTTCGCAGCTCCAGGATTTGTTTTATCGACGTGTTAAGAGAATAGTCGGTAACAATTACCGATCGAAAATTGGAGTAAACAAATTTGCATTAATTGTACAGTTGCTTTTTCCAAAATTGTTTTGTTGGCACCGCGCAAATCAACAACTTACAAATATATAGCTGTCGTTAGTAAAAGCGCTTGGACGTTTGTCAGAATGCTATTGTTTCGATGCTGAAGCATATCCGTTAATTGCCTGGATGCAGGGAAATATGGGGCGTAACGCCGGTCAAACTGGGTACCATTGTTCTTCTAAAATAAGAGTTGCAATATATAGCCACCGTGATCAGTTCACATAATTATGAGATCAATCGTATTATAGATCAGAGAATACGGTAATTTTTCATTCGGGGAAGTTTGAAAATTTCTAGTTGAAAGGTTTTAGTGTTAATGTTGACGAAGTGACTGTTTTCTTACCATTTAGATTTAAACGATTTATTAGGGCAAGTACTGAATCGTATTCTGCAGGTTTTACACTCGGTATTTTCACGTTTTTTTTTATTTTTATCGCATGTTCAAGTGTGAATATTTAAGGTTTAGTAAAATACCTCGTTTTGGGGCGAAATGACGATGACTTGCCCTATACTTTCTGTCTATAGCGCAAATGTCTTTTAGTCTTCGTTCCATTTTGCTATCATTGGAAGAAAATGTTCTTTCTCCTGCATGAATCGTACTATCATTATTTACCAGGGGTGTAGTTGACAGAGAATAGGAAAGTGAAGAAGAGGAAAAATTGCAAATTCAATTTTGCATATTTTGTGACGAGTTCTTCATATATTCCAAGTCCAGCAAAGAGTGAATTCAAGGCATTATGTACCACAGAAATGTTGAGGGGGGCGACGAGACCTTTATCTGTGATTTTTGTTTATTAAACAAATGAGAATGAATTTACGAGTAAGGTGGAATTATTCAAAGGAAAATGAAAACTGTTTATTTGTACGTTTAATTTTTAAATAATTAAGATAAGACAATGTAAGTTAAAGTAAGTTGGTATAAATGAAAATAAGTTTCGAAATTACTCACACCTGTGAGGTAAAACTTCCAAAAAATCTTCTTATCCTATGAGCCGAATAATTAAAAAAAAAAAAAATTTCATTTTCTGATTCTGGAAGTTCCAGTTAGGATTTCGTCAACGGAGAGGATGTAACAGAGAGAAAATGTTTCAACAGTTTTCCTCGTCAATTTTAACAGTCGATATAAAATCTGAATAAAAATAAAATCCAAACGTATATTAACCAGAACAGCAATAAAATAAATTATCCGAATGAGATTCTTAGCAGGGCAATAATTTCGCGGCGATAAAGTCACGCTTGTTTAAATGAGCTGACAGAAATAAAAGGGGGGTTGAAAAGAAGAATAATCGAAGAAGATTGAGAAAGAAGAACGGTAGCATAAACCGTAATCAAAGGATTACCGACGACGTACTATAAGCTATTTGAGAATTTTATGCGAATCTATTGCTGATCTAGTTTGAAATTCAATACGCATCTGGTCGACTGTGGAGGCCTCTTAGACTATTTCGAGTGCAAGTCAGGCTTTCCCAAATTTATAAACAGAAACGTTCGGGAGTAGCTGAAAGAGGGGAGGCGAATATTCAATTAATAGGAGAGATCAAATTAAACGTCTCTTTTTCATCCTTCGTTTAAAATCATTTTCATCGTTGCTGTACCATGCGACATCCTTCGTGTCGATATCCAATTTCACCTGACGTGTCGATAAGAAATTCTGCTAAATTTCTAGCAGGACGACTGTCTCAATCCTTCGAAGAAAAGAGAAGAAAGCAATTTCTCTGGTGTCAGAAGTACACTTTTTTTTTTCTAAAAGTGTCTAATTCTTCTACATTTACACGTGAAATAATAATTTTCCCAAAATTTGAAGGACAACAATTTCCACCTTTCAATAAATTACCATTAATTTGTCTCCAGTTAAAATAGCAGACGGTCTCGAATCGCGATTAACATTCCTCCTACCAGCCTCCAAGCAAGAATCTCAGCAATTGGAGTTCATTTGGCAAGCAAGTTAAATCACAGATAGTACCTCGAAAAATTCCAACGATTCAGATAGATCTATTAAATCGCAATTAGGTTAATCAGCAAGTTTCCATCTTCCCTTCAACTTCCAGCCTGAAAGACCACGACAGACTATAAATTCATAATGAACATTCGCCACATTCGAAGATGCAAAAATTGTCAATAATCGAACTTAAAAGAATAAGAAAAATAACGCGACTAATGGTTCTTCGGATAACAACGTGTACAATGATTTTGGCGAATGTTGTATTCCGTGGTAATTTCGATGTTCAGCAGCAAACGAGAAGTTTCGAAATTCTTTGATTAGGGATACATTATCACGTGCTGTTGTTTGATTAATATCCTTCACCCTTTTATAACGTGGGTGAGTGGGGGCTAGCCAGCTATTATGGTAACATCGAATACAGCATTGTGACCGAAATTACCGTCAGTTAGCAGAGTTTCGTGACGACCACCGTCCTAGCTGGTTCCTGGCTGTCGTTATATTGCTGCCACAGTTTAACGCGTAAATTAAGGTACGCACCGAGCCCGATCGAGATGATTCCAAGTGGATAGATTAGGAAAAGGCAGGGAGAGATAGGGAGAGATTCGAGCGCATTTTAGTCGGCAACGTGTTCGCGTAGGGCAGATGGTGAGAGTGTCAGGTGTGTGGAATTATACGGTTGTATAGTATGTACTTGATTTGAACAGGTTACTACTTTCTCCTTTATTCGAGAATTTTTTTTCAGAAGCGAAGTCCATCGACTTTTTCACCATTTGTCGAATATCACTCGATCCCCTTAGCGGGCTTATTTTAGACGATGATTTTATTCGAACCACATGTTACCCTTAGCTCCAGTTGTGTCTGAAAGATTGTCGCTGTTTTAGATTGTTGTAGGATAATTTTTCATTGTGAATTGAAGGATTCTGGAAGTTGGAAATATCTTTGGAGGTTTATATGTTTTGCAAATTTTTGTCCATTTTTTATATTGCTGTTGTTAAGAATTGCGTGGACGTGATTGAGATGCAATTGCATCGGTTTTATTTTTTCGCAGAAGTGTTCTTTAATATTTTTAATTATAATTTTCGTAATTTTTGTAATTAATTTTGAATCAGATTTAGTTGACAGGAAATTTGGACACTTTTTAATTTAGGAATAAGGAGATTTGTTATTAAGAAAAATTTTCAGGATCAGATGAATATTATCGAGAGAAGTTTTCATGAATTTGCATTATTTCGCTACTTTCGCAATTTCTATAAAAATTTTCAATTACTCAAATTTGTTGAAAGCTTAGAACAATTATAAGGCGCGAAATAAATTTTTATTTCTCTTCATTTAGAAACGCTTTAAAAGATACGAGTACAATAATTCCCCTTTAAATAAAAAGAAAAAGTAGATAAGCTATTGAATAATCCAAACAGTGACAATTAGTTCCAATTAATATCTATTAAATAGTATCTCGAAAAGCACCAAAGAAATTCTAATTTTCCATCGATGTCCTTTGTACAAAGTGTACAATCAAACAGGTTGTACGTTAAATAGTTGCTCTTCTCTCTGGCGAAACGGTGGAAAACGTAAGTTACCAGGATTCTTTACGATATTTCCTAATGAATTTTTCACGTGATACACGTTTTGCAATAATCCTGTCACAGTTATATAATAAATTCTTTACACGCAGTACACTTTGGCTTGGTACCAGTCTCAAAATACGTAGATTCTATCGTAATGACCTGTATCATACGCTATCGTCTCATTTCACAAATTCCACACGTACCATTATCATTTACATTCATATACATAAATTATATTAATGAAAATTCCGATTTTATTTCATTCGAGAGATAGTCGTACAACGTGAACAGGTTGCAGTATAATCGTGGTAGATTTTCACAAATTTTATTCTGTCCAATTAAAAAAAAAGAAAAAGAAAAGAAACGAAGGATTCTCTTTGTGTACGAAATATTTTCATTTTATTTTGTTATATTTATATTGTGTGCTTTTTTTTTTTGTTACTATGAATCGTTGTTGAAATAATGTTACAGGCCTCAGAAGAATACCGAGAACATAGCACGCACAAAACTCACAGAGCGAAGAGGACCAGACAAAAGCAGGAACAACGCGTTGAACAACATAGTTCGAGCGTGCAAGAAAGTTCCAGCGTATCGAAGAAGAATTTCAACGTAATCCGATTGAACAACATCCCGTTATCATTAGCTGGCGGCAACGTAACATGTAAGTATACTAACTATTTTATAAATTTTCGTATTCCATATTCCATAATCCAAAATGATTTTATCTGACACGAAGATGACACACACCGCTTTTTGTTTTTCTGAAATTTTGGCAAAATGATTTTATCTGACACAAAGATGAAACACACTTCTTTTTGTTTTTTCAACATTTACCTTCACCATTCTTTTTTTTTTGAAAATGCTTTACCACCAAATTGTGAGAAATCAAAAATCACACAACTTTCAATTTAACTTTTTTTTCCACATCTTGTACGGTTTCGTAAATATTCACAATTTTTGTCAAAGGGGTGCTTTTCACCCCTAGGATCGTTTCAGTGTTGAAACGCGAAATGATTTCGTTATTAGCGTCAATTGAACTGCATTTCTGCGAAGTTTCAAATTTTTGGGAATTTTTGGGTTGTCGAACTTCCCTTATGAGTAAAATTTGAAGTGAAACGTGATAAATATCGATAGCAAAGTGACAGTACGTTTGTTTTTTTAATTTTAAGCTCGGTTTTTGATTGTAATAGAAAAGTCAATTTATGCCAAAACTTGAAACAATAATTCATTGTGTCTAGCGAGTTGGTAATGTAACATGAGCATCTATTGTATACAACAAACAAGAAAAGCTGCATTATGCACACTCGGTGAAAAAAGTCTCAGA